TAAACCTCCAGGTTCTTACTTCTTAGACAATTTAACTTACAATTTTTATTTATAATCAAAATATTGCAAACTTTGAATAAATTTCAAATTTTACAGTTGATTGGTGAACTTCTTTTGGGAGCTCAACTCCCCATTTGAAAGAATTTGCAATTAAGATTCTTAGTTTCAGGACTATTGCGTCGGGATGTGAATGGAATTCGAGTGTCTTTGAGCATATAAGTTAGTCAATTTATTATTTTTAAGTTATTAATTAGCAATTATAACATATTTAAGCACTAATTTATTTTAAATATTTCAGTTGCATTCAAAAAGGAGGAGTTGCCTTGAACACATGCGCCTTAATGATTTGCTTTTCGTTAAGTATAATAGGGCATTGAGGTGACGATGGGAAATGCGGGATACCATTGATCCAATTAGTTTTGATCAAATTGATTTTGCTAATGAATGGTTGACAGGTATCCTGGATGATGCTAATGATGAGTTGGTGTTTGATGATGGGGATGGATTGACTTGGGGTCAAATTGCTAAATTTTTGGGTGCAAATGAAACTCCTTATTCTCTTCGGCATGCTTCAAAAGGAATAGAGAAGGTTGGGAGTTCAAGGTCTAAGGGAAAGGAAAAGGTTCCCAATTCTCTTCGGCATGCTTCAAAAGGAATAGAGAAGGTTGGGAGTTCAAGGTCTAAGGGAAAGGAAAAGGTTCCCAAGCATAGAGCAGTGAATGAAGATGAAGATGAAGATGAAGATGATGAAGAAGATGAGGAAGCATTTGAGAATGATGAAGTTATTCATTTTGACATTTTGGATTTGTGTGATGAAGAAGATGACTTTGATACAGAGGATTGAATGACTTTGAATGATTGATAATATGTGATATTTTGATGACAAATTGGCTTGAATGACCTTATTTTGATGACTAAAATTTATATTATTATGATGTTGTGACTTTAGGAGTTCTTATTTATGTCATTTTGCATTACTATTTGAATATTTAAAGGTTTTTGACTATATATATATATATATATATATATATATATATATATATATATATATATATATATATATATATATATATATATATATATATATATATATATATATATATAAAGCGTCGCTTTTCTTGAAAAAGCGACGCTTCGTTTTGCGCTTTTGCTTTAAAGCAAAGCCGGAGCTTGTTGCTTTAGTGCGTTTTTTTCGCTTTAAAAAGTTTGGTAATACCCGAGTATAATTTTAATTTTACTACAATTTAATTTTCCACACAAACTAGTTTTAATTTTCCACACAAACTAGTTTGAAGTATTATTTTAATTACACTTCAAGTTCATGTCTATCCACCAGTAAGAATTTTCCAATTAATATAAATAAATTCCTAACAAAACTAAAATATTATATACATCACCACAATACTCAAAATATATATTATTATTTAAACTTAGTAACATGTTCAAAGTCCTCAAATATACATTTATTATATAAATCTTCAATGTAGAAAAGTCATATACTATTATGTGCTCCTTAACGAGGACTTGTCAATGAGATGGTAATTTCATTTATTGAACTTGCTACCTCAATTACCTTTCTTCCCAAGAAGAAACCAGGCTCATTTGCAATGGGTAAAACTGCATTGTTAGTCAACATTTGAACTACAGAAAACATGCTTGGCCTCTCTTCGGGAAATTGTTGAACGCATAACAAGCCAACTTGGATTGATCTTAGAACTTGAGCCAAATTACACGATTCATCCAAAGCTTCATCTACTAGTTCAATTGATCTACCATCACTATATAGATTCCATGCCTTCAATATATAAAATTAAAAGTTACTAGATCAAGAAAATACAAAGTAATGGATAAATCAGTATATTTAGAATTTGATACTCACATAGCTAAGAAGGTTCTCAAAGCTATCTTGTTTAGAAAACCCTGTGTTTCTTTTCCCACTAACAATTTCTAATACTGAGACACCAAAGCTGAATACATCCGATTTAGTGGAGAACATCCCATGTCCCGCATACTCCGGCGACATGTAACCACTGTGTTTTGTAATTTATTTTAGTAATATATTTAACTACAATATATACATACATACATACATACATACATACATACATACATACATACATACATACATACATACATACATACATACATACATACATATATATATATATATATATATATATATATATATATATATATATATATATATATATTGGGAAGGGATCATGTGCGAGTGGTGCTTCCCGTGCGGTTGTGTGGGTGGACGCACATTAAGCACTACACTGACACACTTTAAGTATACAACACACGCACATAAAATACACAAACAAAATACATTCAGAACACAAACTCACGCATCTTAAGCACAAAAGTCACGCATCTTAAGCACAACCTTCACGCACCTTAAGCACAAAACTCACGCACCTTAAGCACAAAACACACGCACCTTAAGTTTTAACAACAACTCACATTAAGTACACACTCACGCACATTAAGTACAAAACTCACGCACATTAAGCACAACATTCACACACTTTAAGCACAAAACTCATGCACATTAAGTACAAACCTCATGCACTTTAAAGTTTCAACAACAACTCACATTAAGTACACATTCACGCACATTATGTACAAAACTCACGCACACTAAGTATTACACACTCACGCACATTAAGCAAAAACCTCACACACCTAAAGCATAATACTCACGCACATTAAGTACAAAACTCGCGCACATTAATCGCCCGCACAACCGCACGGAAAACCTTCACCTGCACTGGAACTTAAACCTATATATATATGTAATGAAATTGAAAATCTTACTGTGTTCCAGCAACTCGATCTGTATTTGCACCAATCTCATTTCCTCCGATGCATCTAGCTAATCCAAAATCTGATATCTTTGGATTCATGTCAATATCTAACAAGATGTTGCTAGCTTTGAGATCTCTATGGATAATTCGTAGTCGTGAATCTTGGTGTAGATACAAGAGTCCTCTAGCAATTCCATTGATAATGTTGAAGCGTTTTGGCCAATCAAGTAATTCTTTTCTTGTATGATCTGTCAAAGGTTACTTCTTTTTTATCTATAAAACAATACAATTCATCTAATAGTGGATTTTTTCAGTTCCAAAAACACATTTTATATATTAAAAGAACGTTGTCAAGATAAATACTAAAAATCCAAGACATTGAAGTGCAATAATCATAACAACAACAATAACAACAACAACAACAACAACAACAACAACAATAATAATAATAATAATAATAATAATAATAATAATAATAATAATAGATGATTTAACTATATGTGGGAGTACCATACCAAATATAAATGAGTCGAGGCTTTTGTTAGGCATATATTCATATATCAACATCTTTTCTTCCCCTTTAATGCATCATCCAAAAAGTTTCACAAGATTCCTGTGTTGAAGTTTGGCAATGAAGTCAACTTCATTTTTGAATTCTCCGAGGCCTTGCTTAGAAGTCTTTGAAAGTAATTTCACAGCTATTTCTCTATCATCATCCAAAACACCCTGAAAAATGATTCATTTGAGTGTAAGAAAACTTGGTATTGTTATGCAACACATGTAGAACAGGTCTATATCTTCCCTTAAAATTCACCCATTTAATTTTCTACGTCATGATGGCCCTGTTGGGTAAAATAGTTAGCTTATCAGTTAATTTTGACTTATTTGATCACTATTAGCTATTTGACTTGGTTAAAAATCAATATGGGTGTTTGATTAATTAGTTTTTTGAAACAACTTATTACTCAAAAATGCTAAAATTCAAAAAACTAGTCAAAGTAGTTTTTTCGATTAGCACTTGAGAAAGTCATTTTGTATGTAATCAGCTAACAGCTAACAGCTAATCTACCAAACACTTTTCTATAATCAGCTAATGTTATAAATTAGTCAAACACACTAACTCAATCAGCTAACCGTCATTTACCAAACACCTCGATATGTTTCTTGACAAAACAATTACCTTGTAAACAGGTCCATATCCTCCTTCTCCAATTTTGTTCGTGAGTGAAAAATTATCGGTAGCCCTTGTTATTACGGATGCTTCAAAAAGTGTTTGATCTTGTCCCAGTTTCAACTTTACTTCCTTCTCCTTCTGCTTCCATTTCCTTCGTTGTTTATAGAATATCAGGATCATGGCCAAGCTGAGCACCAACAGTCCAATCAACAATGATGAACTCAATTTTATTATTTTTAATTTCTTGCCCTTTGAGGTTGGAGTAGTATAGTCTACCAAAACAGAACAAAAAAAGAGATAATGCATATTAATTAGCTACTGCTATGATATGATAAATTTTCATAAACTCCTAGAAAATTTCATAATAAATTATTGTTACATACCTAAATCAGAAGAAGCCATCCTGATGAAAAGATCTTGCTCTTTCTCAGGTATCAGTCTAAGGTCAATCAAATCACCAAACCAAAGCAAACACCCATTATTTTCTCCATTGCTTATATTCAGATTTGAATAAGCTGTACAGTTGCAATTCTTCAAGCAAACTTGCTCACACTCTTGAAGGTTCATACTGCTGTTGAACCATGAAAACTTTGTATCTGGCAACTTGATACCACTATATTTAATGAATCCATCTGAGGATGCATTTTGACAATTCAAGCGTGTCCTCCGAACGCATCCTGCTCCTAAATATTCAGACCTGGATTCTACTGGATTTTTAGGCAAAAATTTGTCCAAACATTCACAAGTAGGGTAGTAATCATAGTAACAGACACTATATGCTCCACAAGATCCATATATGTCACAAGTGTCTGTTGGTCCATTAAAGACAATTTTCCATTCCTGTGAACCATCTGCCCATAAATAGAATTGTACACTCCCAGAGGTTGATATTATTAACCTTATAAACATTGAGGTTTTCATAACCTTATAGTATGAATAAAACGCGGTTGCATTAACAATTACACCCAGTTCAGCCATGTCTCCCAACTTTTCCATGCCAGGTGTGCCGTTCCAATCCAGACCATTCCATGGTCCTGACCGAAACACTTCTTCCTCGCCTCGTTTTATGAGCACTTGTGGATACCCTGTAGGTTGAACCAGAAATTTATATTCCCCCGAGCCTGGATTGTTTTCTGCCTTCCATGATGATAGAATAATCTCAATACCAGTATGGAAATTCTTTCCAAGCATCATGCCTGGTAAAAGAGTATCTGTAGGATGATGAAAACTTTGCCACAGAAAATTCTCTGGATTACTATCATTTGCATCAGTAATCACTAGATTCCCAGAATCTAATAATCTGGCAACTGGATTTTGGACGAATTTGGAAGTGTTAGTATGCCAAAATATGGAATTGTTGCCACCAACAAGAGCTAGCCCGCCTGGATTGAACATCTGCAAGACCACTGAATATTTATTGGTGATGGGAGCATCTCTATTGGCAACCCATACTACGGTGTGAATAGGCAATTGCTTGTACCATATGCCAACGTAGCGATTCGATGAATTGTTTGGGCTAAAAAATCCCAACTCAAAAGTTCCACCAGAAGAAGCAATGGTTTCACCATCTTTAAGGAAGTGAGTGGATTTAATGGTATCCCCTGCATAACAAATCTTCTGAATTGAAACTAAGTGTATTATAGCTATGAACAACAGGACATCATTTCCCATTGTGGAAACGGTTTTTTCTTTTTTTCATCTTTTTCTGTTCTACTTCATTCATATTATTAGCAAATGGAGTATATGTTACGCATAAATAGACATGTATCCGAGTATCTATTACGCACTATCATCTATGGTCTCTGGTCTTCGTCTTATCTACCACTACACCATATTAAATTATTAATTGCTCAATCCCAATAGTTATTGCATGGACGGTAGTCCCCATAGTTGTGTAGACCATGGTTCAAAAACGACGTCATTTTGTGTAAAAAAACAAATTCACGTGATCCACTGCAACGTACACTTTATAACTCATAATGTACATTATTTTAAAATATAATGTACATTATTCTAAAACATAATGTACATTATTCTAAAATATAATTTACATTATATTACCCTAAAAGTTTCATATTCTAAAACGTAATGTACATTATTTTAACACATAATATACATATTCTAACATATAATGTATATTATTCTTACTCATAATATTCAACGACATCGTTTTAGATCGGGACATCATTTCCAATTGAGGAAAAGTTTTTTTTTTCATCTTTTTCTATTCTACTTCATTCATATTATTATCAAATGGAGTATCTGTTACGCATTAATATAATAGACATGTCTAAATGTCTTGATCTATCGGAGTATCTATTACGAACTACGGAGTATTATCTATGCTCTCTGGTCTTCGTCTTATCTACCACTACACCATATTATTTGCTAAACCCCAATAGTTATTGCATGTACCGTAGTGCACATAGTTGTGTGGATCATGGTCCAAAAAGAACGTCGTTTTGTGTAATTTTTTTTCACGTAATCTGCTGCAATATATATTTTTATAATTCATAATGTACTTTATTTTAAAATATAATATACATTATTCTAAAACATAATGTACATTATTCTAAAACATAATTTACATTTTATTACCCCAGAAATTTCATATTCTAAAACGTAATGTACATTATTTTAACACGTAATATACATTATTCTAACATATAATGTATATTATAATAGACATGTATTGATCTATCGGAATATTTATTGACACTGAGATGTACATTATTCTAAAACATAATTTACATTATATTACCCCAGAAATTTCATATTCTAAAACGTAATGTACATTATTTTAACACGTAATATACATTATTCTAACATATAATGTATATTATAATAGACATGTATTGATCTATCGGAATATTTATTGACACTGAAATTTTGATAAATATGATTATTTATCAATATTAGTATATTTGGATAGTCCACCCCAACAGAGTATCGCACAAGGAATCTGCCCACTTTGAACATAATTCTCACACTACCACCGTCAAGGTTCAAACTTTGGTCTCTTATCCCAAATACTGCCCACTAAACCATTGAGCTAAGCCCGTGCGGGTAAAACTCTTATATCCTACAACTATAAGTAGGAGCTCTTATTTTTATGTATTGATCCCAGGAAATAATCATGTAAACATTTAGAAATATTATTTAGAGATCACAATGAAAATGTGATCCGCCCCTCCTCCATGATGATCATGCTTGTTGATCCAAACCTCCATTGAAGATCAAGTCATTTGAACCCGGAAGCCCTTCAATGAAGAACAAGCTATATATATACCAGCCATTCTTTGAAGATCAAGCCACTTGAATTCCGGAGGCCCTTCAGTGGTGGAGTGTTCAAGACATCTAATTAAAGAATCAAAGGACCAAGCCATCCAGAAACTTGTACCCACACCGCCAGGCCCGACCCTGGACAAGGGCAGGCTGGCCCTTGCCCAGGGCCCAGAGGTTCTGGGGATTGAGTCCCTCTTGCGTATGTAAATTAACATTAAAATTTTCTTCCTAGTTTTTACTCTTTAGAGATAAACATTAAGATTTTCCTCCTAGTCCTTACTCTTTAGAGATATTATTGTTATATCTCTTTAGATGAATTTTAGGGATATTATTATACAGTATTAAAATTGAATTTAGGGATATTATTGTTATATAGTATTTAAATTGTAACTTATTAAACTTAATTATATTTTTAGTTTGTATTTTTTAAAATTTAATTTGTAACTTTGTGTTTTTTTTACTTTTTTTATAAATATAGTGAGATTTATAATATAGATTGATTTGTGATTCATATCAAATTTTAAATATATTTTTCTTTGAGTAATTTACTACTTATATTTAAAATATGTATTATTTTGTGAACTTTATAATGACTTATGTATAATAATATATTTTGTGATTTAGTTATGAAAAATATTTTAAAAGATAGTTTTTTTTTTTTATGAATTATTTAATCAATGTAATTTAGAAGTCCTATTTTGCATCTATCGTATTCAAATTAATCTAGAAAAATTTGAAATTGATCCAACTAAAAGAAAAAAGTATTTATAAATATGATATCAATATAGAAGATGTGTGATTTATTATGTTTTTTATTCGAACTGTTTTATCCAATTATTATGTTTCATATTTTATTATGAATATCTTTTATCACGTTTAGAGTATTTTGATTTATTACTCTCAATAATTAAGATTTTTTACTATGCTCTTATGTGTAAGTTTTGTTTTATAAATTTTTATTAAAAATTAGTACTTTATTATTAATTATAATAATAATGTAATTCTCAATAAGGTCCTTTGGTTTTAAATTATGTATTCATTTTTATAAACTATAAATTTTTATTTATGAAAGTAATGATGTAGTTATTGATTATTTTAGATTTAAGAATGCATCTAGAATTATTTTTATCTGTATGTATAATTGTTAAAAACTTGTGAATCTTATTTCAAGTTATTTGATATTAGTATTTTTTTCTTATTTAATTTAAATTTTAATTATAAAAATATATATTAATTTAATATAGGGTCCATTTTTGTTTCTACGCCCTGGGCTTATAAAATGATGGGACCGACCTTACACACCGCATTGATACTTGACATGTAACCAAAATTTTGAATATTACTATAGTATATTCAATTTTCTTTGTTCAGTATCTATTAGATCGTGACATCATTTCCAATTGAGGAAAGGGGTTTTTTTTTTCATCTTTTTCTATTCTACTTCATTCATATTATTATCATTGATCAGGAAAGCGAGTGGATTTGGAGGATTCGCGAGGCGGAAAAAATCAAAATTTTCATCTGAAAACTTGCCAACAACGGGCTGCTCACGAACCATGAACGTAAGAAACGTGGGATTGCCTCTGGTGATCTCTGTCCGAGCTGCGGGGATGATTCTGAGACGCTAGACCACCTGTTTCGACGGTGCCAAAGAGCTCTGGCCTGCTGGAATTGCGCAGAACCACCGACGACCTTCAACGGCAGCAGTCACGTTCCCCTTCTCCGCTGGATCAAAGAAAACTCTTTCAACCCGGCTCAAAACATTCAACTGGCAAGATGGAACCTCCTTTTCCCCCATCTGCTCTGGCACATTTGGAAAGCTCGCAACTCTGCCATCTTCAACAATGTTATTCTCCCTTCTCAGGAGATAAGAATGACAGCTTAACATCAAGTGCATCAACAGAATGAAGAAGACGCGCTTGATAGACGTCTTTGGTAGACGCCTTTGGTAGACACGTTTGATAGACGTCTTTGGTAGACACCTTTCGTAGACGCGCTTGGTAGACGTCTTTAGTAGACGCTTTTGGCAATTATAACTGCTTCTTTCTTATCTCTGTACTCTGTATATAAGCTCATGTTGAGCTTCCTTTTTGGCAGTTAATCAATTCCTTTTTTTTCCTCTTTATCTTCAATCCTTCTGCTCCAACTTCACAACATGGTATTAGAGCTCCTGTGAGGAGTCTCCGTTTAGAAGAGGAACTACCATGGCAGCGTGGCCGTCAATCGGCAATCGGACAACTCCGATCGATAATACAATAGGAGGACCGGCGATTGGAAGTCCGGCGCCAACACCTGCTTCTCCAACTCTTCCGAGTGCCTCAAACACTACTGAGGTATCTCTCGATTCCCAAGCACAATCGAATCCGTATTTCATGCACGCCAATGAAAGTCCAGCCTTAGAGCTGGTATCCACACCATTAGAAGGCCCAAACTATCATCCTTGGGCTAGGGCTATGTCTATGGCGCTTTCGTGCAAGAATAAGCTCGTTTTTGTGGACGGCACCATCACTAAACCTTCTAAAGATGATCGCAGATATCCCTATTGGGAGCGATGTAACAATATGGTTGTCACTTGGCTAGTTCGATCCTTATCACCGATGATCGGTCGGAGTGTCCTCTGGATCGACACAGCATATGGAGTATGGAATGACCTAAGAAAGAGGTTCAGCCAACAGGATTTGTTTCGAATTGCGGAAATCAAATGCGAAATCTATCAGTCTAAGCAAGGAGATAGCTCCTTGAATGAGTATTTCACTCAACAGAAGTTATTATGGGACGAACTACACATACTCAGACCGCTCATGTTTTGCAATTGTGGTAATAGGTGTGAATGTGGGAGGAAAATTGATGAGATCAATGATCAGATGGAGAAGGATAAACTGTCCATATTTTTGATTGGACTTCATGACAGATTTACAGGTGCAAGAAACCAAATTATGTTGATGAAGCCATTGCCGGAAGTCAGTGAAGCCTACTCCATGATAGCTCAGCAGGAGAGGCAGTTTAACATGGTTTCCACTGGTTTTGGCAGTCAATTGTCTCAATCTGGAGAAAATAGTGCAGCAGGGAGTATTTTTATGGCTAGCAGAACAAATAATGGACAACAGAATTATAAGAAGTTCACAGGAGGAAATAAGAAAGCCGTATGCACCTTCTGTGGTTTCACAGGACACACAGAGGATAAGTGTTACAAGAAACATGGTTATCCACCTGGGTGGAAACCAAGACCAAAGAATCAAGGGCATGTGAATAATACTCAGGGGTCATTGGGGATTCAGCAGTCAAACTCTGATGGAGGTATATCCTTTACTCAAGATGACTTTAAGAAATTTCTGGAATTTGTGCAGGTCCAGAAGTCACATGGAGAGAAGGGATCTCCAATCAACAACACTCCTCTTGATCTG